ACCCCATTATATCAGCTCAAAAGTCTTCAGTCAACTCCAAGTCCAAATCCCATCCTGGGGCAAAATTTCTCTGAATCTGTGATTCTGGAATACAGGCTATCTGCTTCCCAAGTGCAATGGTGGGACAGGCATACGGTAGACACTTCCCTCACACATGGGAGAAAGGGGAGAGAAAGAAGGGATAACAGGCCCCAATCTCAATCTCGGGTGGCTAAACACCACTTGTCCCTCTAACAAGCCCCAAGGAAGTAAAAAACCCAACAAAACAACTGACATCAGCACTCAAGGCTCAGAAATAACCCTCTGTTCTCTGAGACCATCTGGGCACTAGCTGTGCCCTCCAGACCCTGGGTACTGGCCACGGCCTCAGGATTCTGGGGGGAGGCCCCTTGGTCCTGGGCTTCAGCTCCACCTTCCAGGCCCACTGGGACGGCAACTCTGCTCCCTTGGCTTTGTGTGGCCCCATTCCCCTAGCCCCCCTGAGCGGTGGGGTGACCCCACTGGGCGCCGCTGCCCCTCAGGTATGTCAGCCCAGTCCCCCTCAGCTGTGGGTGGCATCTCCAGTCCATCCCACTGGCACCGGTGAATGGTAGCCCCAGTGCATCCTGCAGCTGAGTTGGTGAAGATCGCATTCTGTGAGGCCCTGGAGGCTGGGGCCCCACCTCTGAGACGGGGCAGCTCTCCTTCCTGTGCTCCCTGTCTCCTCAGCTTCCTGGTTCCTGGGTCTCCCGGCCCCTCAAGCCAGCGCAGCCTCTGCCCTGCTCAGACAATGTTACCCAGCTCCTTAGCTCCACTGGGAAGAGTCCAGAGGTACCCCACTCTGCTAGCGAGCCTCAGGCTGAAGGCACTCAGCTCTCTCGGGCCACGGTCAGCTGCCGTGCCCTCCTGCACCAGCCTGCTGACTCTGTCGCCACCGCTTGTCCATAACTCCGTCTGGGCCATCTCCTCACTTCCTTTTGAGCCCTCATTAGAACTGCCGTTGATGTTCGTAATTCCACAGTCTCTTCAAGGCAATCTAGACTTTACTACTGTCGTTACGTGCCACTGAGTAGGTCCCAACTCGCAGTGACCCTACGTACACCAGAATGAAATGCTGTCTGGACC